CTGAGGCTTTGCTCTGGCAAAGCCTCAGAAGCGCGGGAACCCGCCCGGTGCCCCTGATCTGCTGGAGACAGTCTCCAGCAGACCAGGGGCACCAGAGCAGCTTACGAACGTGGCTTTCTCGCCCCGGAGCTCGCAGGTAGCAATCCGTTTGTAAGTGCGGATCTGAAAGCCCCGTTTGTAAGTGCGGATCTGACATAAGTCGGATCCGCGTAAGTCGGGGACTGCTTGTATGATGATTTGGAATATATAATGTATAAAGAAGTGTGTATGTTGTGTAAGCTATTTGGACAAACACTTTTCTCCAATAGTTGTTTGGTTATTACCACATTACATAGACCCTCTCCTGTATTCTTTACATAAGGAAAACTACCCGTAATATCCAAGGATCATTCCTGAGTAAAGTCTGAGAAAGTACTGTGCAGGATCATCCATTATGTCTAAAAAAATTGCTAAGATAACACATTCATAATTTTGCACACATGCATAGCCCCATTAATTTCAATAGGACTGAATTACTCACGTGTGTAAAGTTACACATTTGCTTATGTCTTTGTAGGAATAAAAAGTCTATTCTGAATTGTTCAGTCACAATAAGACATCTGTTAGATAAGAAAAGGTCTGCCCATAGACCAGTGATTCTCAAACTTTTTGGCCCGTGGTCCACCCAGCACAATGCAGACCTTTACGCGGATCACCAGTTGCTAATGAAAACTCACCATTAATTACATAATTCCACCCAAGCCATTTTGCTAGTGCTGCAGCTAGGGAGAAGGGTTTGATTTAACCAGTAAGAAAGGAAATATTAATTTAAATTATTAAACAGATTAAGCACTTTAACTTTCTTATCTTAGTTTACCAAACTTCATTTTAAATAAATGTAACCCCCAAGGAGATTACCTCGATTCCTGGAGTTCTGTCTGCTGGCAGCTCAGGGAGAGGCACACTGTCCCTGGTAAGGTTGGGGAGCCAAGGCAAACTCAGAGTCTGCCCGGCAACAAATAGGGAGTGAGATGCCCCTCCCAGGGAGTTCAGGGAAGGGGAGAAGCCATTGTTTTTTATGAATCAGTCTGGAGCCAGCCAGGTCAAGGGCAGGACTGGTTGTGTGGGGAGCTGGTAAGCCCCAGGCCTGAATATAGGGTCCCCCCTGAGAACTGGCTTCTAGGGACCTGAAAGCAAGATCCCTCAGCTGGGTTTTCCTTCTCCACTGATGATTCCCAGTTTGTAGAATTTGCTGGGAAACTTCCCCAGCCAGGCTGAGTTAGCCTTCCAGCTCCCTAGGTGAGACCAGTCATCACACGGGCAGCTCTGCTCTGCCTGCTAGTTCAGGGCTGCTGCCTTCTGTGTGTGTCTGGGCGCTGGGCTAGGAGACTACAGTTTGGATTTTAGTACAGTTGTGTAATCTGCACCTTGAGCCCTGCACCCCTTTGTGGTGAGGGGAGATCCTGGGACTGAAGCAGCCTAATTCCTGCCTGAAGAGGTTCCCTGCCAGCAGAAATCAGCACCTCTGCAGTGACTGAGGAGAGTCCAGAGTCATCTCTGAACCGGAGGATCATTCATGGAGTTTGTGAGTGCACCATCTTTTAGTTAGTCAGCGCATTTGTTTTGGGGACCCTGTACTTCCTGAACTGTGTCCTCAAACCAGGGAGTAAGTGTTTAGGGATTTTATAACCTGCTGCATATTAAACCTGTGGAGGGATTTACCACCTTCTCCTGCTTGTGAGTCCTTTGGGCTGTACTGAACCCAGTCAGCCACACTGCTAAACCACTGCAGAGAAGAATTTTGTGGTCATCAGTCGTCAAGGGCCTCAACAAAGTACGCGTACCAACAGGACACTAATCTTACATTTGCTATATCAAGTCACGTGACTGGGGCAAGTCACAGGTATTAGCAGCATGGGCACCAGTGAACCTAAAAATAGTGTTTTATCCTGTTATGTTATAATTGTTTCCTGTTTAATATAATTATTGTGTTGAATATATTGTGTGTGTTTGTGTTATTTTTTGAAGTCTCCAACTACCTGGCAAGTAAGTGGGGATTACCCTGTGGTTAGAATTTTCCTCCCAAACTGCCCTGGTGACCCTGCCAGGAAGGAGTGAGCGGGGTGGAGGCACCGCCAAATTGCTGAGTGGGTGGCAGGATCCAGAAAAACCCAGACCTGTCCATCTAAACCTGTAGGCAGATTGGCATTAAAGAAGGTAATCAGGTGGAGAGGGGCACTACATAAAGTAAAATATTAATTGATGTCCAACACAAAAGATTTCAGCATTGTCTTTATTTATGGCAAGAATAGGGAATCTTTTTGTGGATCAGGGGCCAGTGACCCACAGAAAAATCAGTCAGGAATCACACAAGTGAGAAGCAAAAAACTCCTCCAAAACCCCCATTTTCCTTTCTTCTCCCTCTTTTCTCCCCCACCACTTGCTCGAACCGTGAAGGGGGGGGGGGGGCAGTGCCAACTGTCTGCAGCGGGGAGAAGGAGGAAGGGGGCTGAGCTTGTGCTGCAGACCACATTGCAAGGCATCCAGGGACCACTAGTGGTCTTCAGACCCCAGTTTGAGAACCACTGCCGTAGACCCATATAAAGGAAATATAGTTTTATATACATGTTAAATAAAGACCAGAGAACACAACTAGGCCAATAGTGAAAATCTGCCTCTTGCCATTGCCTCTTTAAATTAAGCACCAGAGCCAAATTCTGCTATCAGGTATGCACATGTCAGTGGGAGTTGTGCAAGGGCAGAAGTTGCCTTGTAAGCAGCAGATTTTATTCAATTTTAATGATTATAGACATTTTCACATCTTTTTCATGCATCTTAAGCTGAAGGAAAGCAGTGTTTTCATTTCTAATGCTGGACTCTTCCGCACACCTGTTGTTCTGCTTGTGCCAAAGTTAAACACAGATCTTGTCATTACACTTGTTTGCAAATCATTTTAGAATTGACATTTTGATTTTCTGTTTCTAACTATCAGAGCTCAGAAAAATTGCACCACGGACTGTGAAAATAATTAGTTTTTCCAAAAAGAGAACTAAGGATGTTTGCTCTCTGATGAAGACAAATTATGATTAAAAAAAATGATGCGGGGGACCCTAAAAATGGATGTTGAAGGTACTACAAGTTGAACCTCTTTGATCCGGGACTCTCTGGTCAGCCACATCCATGGTCCAGAAGGATGATGGATGTTGCCAGACCAGAGAATCCCTAGACCAGAAAGCGGGCAGCTGCAGCTGGCCAGGGAGCCAGGAGCCTTGTGCAACTTGAGGGAGGCAGAGCCTGGGGCTAGCCAGCAGCGGGACGCAGCTCCAAAGGAAGCCCTGGCCCTGGGGCAGCAGAGATTGGTGGTAGTGGTGGTCCTGGGGCAGCAGAGCCCAGCATCCCAGGGCTGGCCATGGAGCCTGGCAGAGGGGAACCTGGAACCTGGCAGCAGTCCCAGGGAAGTGGAGGTTGGGGAAGGCAGCCACAGAGGACTGGCTGCAGGGCTTGGCAGTGGCAGCAGTCCAGGGCTGGCAATGGAGCCCAGAGCTGGCTGCAAAGCCTGGCAGCATCTGGCGGAGGTAAAGGAGCAGGAGGCCCAGTGGACCAAGGGCAGGGAGGCCAGGGGGCCAGGTGGGGAACATGGCTGGGTCCCCAGGAGAGCCCAGAGCCCATCAGCAGAGGGGCCATAATTGAATTCCTGTGGTTAGTTAAACTCCCTCCTTTGGGACCAGTCAGATCCCAAGAGTGCCATCCAGCCTGTATTTTTAAGAAAAAGACATGTGATGTTCTGTATGAGTAATGAAACTAAATAAAATGAAAAAGTGAGCTGATATTTTTAAATGAAACTTACCATGGAGTTAAGCATCATTTATAAATGATAAAAACTTCTGTTCATCGAAAAGAAATAATTTCCGTGACTACATTGCTGAAGAATCTCCATAGGCAAGGTTCAATTTTTTTATTTGATATAAGAAAAAAAACTAATTTGATGGTGCTCGCCTTGAAAAAAAAAACCTACTGCTTTCTATGGGAGTAGAACTGGCCCCAGTGATGGCTTCTTATCCGAATTCTTAAGAGCCAGCTACCGCTAATGAAATGCCTTCTTGTAAAAGACAAGCCTGGGTGCTTAAATTCACAACTTCGTTAGACACTAAAAATCATGGACTCAATAAACACACTGGGTTTAAGGTTCAT